ACGGCTTACTATACATGGTCTTTTTTTTTGGGCTAAAAACGCCTTACTATACATGGTCTTTTTTTCGGCTAAAAACGCCTTACTATACATGGTCTTTTTTTCGGCTAAAAACGCCTTACTATACATGGTCTTTTTTTCGGCTAAAAACGCCTTACTATACATGGTCGTTTTTTTTGGGCAAAAAACGCCTTACTATACATGGTCGTTTTTTTCGGCCCAAAACCTTTCTATACGTGGTTGTTTTTTTCGGCCCAAAACGCCTTACTGTACATGGTCGTTTTTTTCGGCCCAAAACGCATTCCTATCCGTGGTCGTTTTTTTCGGCTAAAAATATACCATGTATAGGGTCGTTTTTTTTTGGCCCAAAACACCTTACTATTGTATTGTAAGGCGTTTTGGGCCAAAAAAAAACCCCGACCATCTTGAGTAAGGCGTTTTGTTTATTGTTCCTTGGTGTGAGGGTGAGCGCGAATAGTTGCACGGAGAAGAGGATCCGAAAATGGATGGCCGTGCATATTTTTGAGACCGCACAGGAAGGCCGGAATCAAACCCTTTACCTCCGCAGCGCGGGACCAACAAACTTACCATTCGACTACCACGCACGAAATGAATCCTCTCTGTTGTCCTTCGGTGTGAGTGGGAGCGCGAATAGGATCAGAAAATGGATAGTCATGTATGTTCTTGAGAACACACAGGAAGGCTGGAGCTGGAATCCAACGCTGCACCCCCGCAGTGCAACACCGACACAATAAACATTCGACTACCAGTCAGGTCACAATTCACATTGTCCGTAGATGTGAATGTGAGCATGAATAGTTGTGCGGAGGAGAAGATCAGAAAATGAATGGTCACGCACTTTTTTGATAACGCACAGGAAGGCCAGAGCCTAATTCGAATCCCGCACCTCTGCAGCGCAACGCAGACGCACTAACCATTCAACTACCAGGTAGGTCATGAACACTCTTCCCACGGGTCCTTCAAGTTCATAAAAATCCATCAAAAAGTGAAAAAATGTTCTTAATTGTGCTTCCTGGTTCCCGCTCTGCTTTTCCCGCGGTCTCCGATCAGTTCCGATGATGATCACGTGATCACTTCGGGTCATTTCGGGCCAATTTGACATCCAGTATGTCAAATAAAGGGTTAGCTAATTGCCCCTAAAAATAAAGATGTGCCCTTCCAATGACAACAATGATTTGAACACCAGCTCAGTGAAATGTGGCTTTCCGTTCATTCAATCCACCATGAATCCCCTGCGAATGGAGAAGAAGTCCTTAAAAAGTGGCTAAATTAGCCCTCAAAAGTCCTTAAAAGATCCATAAATAAAAAGCAAGTGGAAGAGTGGGAACCCTGAAAACAATACTGTAAACACTCCTGATTTGCACAATATGCACACCCAAGTGCTGATTATTTTGTAAAAATCCTAAACACAAGCAATTTGGCAAAATGTTTTCATAATTATTTTAATATGAGAGTAAACATGGATTTTCCATCCCTATCACACCAGCTCTGTTCTTACAAAATGTTTGGAGTGTGAGTAATACAAGCGTGTAGGATCCTTCCACACTCGACAGCATTTCTGTGTTCTTTGCTGTGCCAAACTAAATAAACCCATTGTGCATTTTTTTCTTCCCGATTAAGATTGACATGTAGTATATTCCCTGCTGTTTTTTCTTTGGTGAGTTTCTGGTGCTGGCTCATCGTCCGGGTCCATCCTTAGCCCCTCCGCGTTGTTGGGCCACTCCACCGATGTCGTTCACCGTCAGCAGAAAACTCATTTAACGTTTGGTAGAAGGGGTAGCAACTGGAAAGACCAACTTCCTTAACATGTTTGCTTCAAATAGCTCACATCTCTACCTTCAAAACCAAGCATTATTCAGTTCAACAACAGTTCTTCTTATTCACTTTATTATAAGAACGTGGTATTAGTGAGAAAAAAAGACTGATGAAAATGACAACACCATGACTGGAAAAGCATTGAACAATTTGCACACGCACACATGGGAAAAAAAAAAAAACTGGCTCAGAGACCGGCATCCCATGACCACAAACTGTACAACAACAAAACCCAAATGTGATCTGACGTATTTGTGAATAGCGTTTTAAAAAACGCATACGTTGCTCAGCATGATGGATTTGTATTTGCGTGGTCCAGGTAAAGGCGAACTGATATTTAGATGGAGCTCCCTCTGCCCACTCCTCCTCTTGATCGACCAAGCGTGCCTAACGCCAAGGGGGGAAATCAAGGTTTTAGAGCATAGAAGCAATATGGATTTCTGTTGAGCACATGTCTCGGCATTGCGGTTAAAATGAACGGCTACCCGATTCCATGCGAACTGTGAAAAGCATTTCATGTCCTTACCTCGGCGGCTGATCAGCACGCGTCCTTCGCCCCTTCCTCTGCTTCCTCTGCTCAGCGGGGTGCTCATCACAGGTTGAGTGGTCACCACGCGCCTCTGAGTGACGCCGCTGCTGTCTGTAAACACAGCAGATGGGCGTCCCCAACGTTTCCCTTTGAGCAAATGTTCACCGTCACCCGGTGGCACGCTTCCTGCTCACTTTTAGGGGGACGAAATTCATGACAACGAATGAGTCTATCCAAACATCTTACTGCACAACGTGTTGAAAATTGTGGAGGAATCGGCGTCTTGACTGGTGGATGGAAGTGACGCATCTTCACTTTGCTGTCCCGCAGTCTCCATGTCGGCGCGGCTGTCCAAAGAAGCCTCGGCGGGTGGACTGAAAGAGGCAAAGACGATAAAGAGCAGTTATAGATATGAGGCGCACTCACAAATTCCCTAAAAGTAGCTCACCCTTCTTCTTGTTCCATGAACACCTCGTCTCCATCGTCGCCCGGTGTGGACATCCCAGTCGAGGCAGTTACCATGGGAACAGACTGGGACGCCATGTTGTCGCCACTGTCTGAGGGCAGAGACTCCGTAAAGACCGTCACTGGCGCACAAAGTGAAGATACAACGTCAAGTCGTTCTTTCGACGGGCCGCGATAAATGCGCGCATGCGTACGTGCGCGTGTCCCTCACCAGGTGCAGCCACCTGCAAAGGGGTCGTGGGGACACTTCTTCCTCCTCCGTCCTCATCATGAGCAGCCAGGAACAGCGGGGACTCGTACATGCCCAGACCTAATCACGCAATGGCGGCTTAGTGTGCTTCCCTGGTTGCAAATCAGTTGAGGCGTTTGTCAGGTTGCTCCACGAGTCCTTAGTTTGGTTGCTTTTTTTTGTGCTTCATGTACCATGTGACGTCCTCTCTTCACTTATGGCTCGCAGTAATGTATGAACTGCTCATGAGTCGACGTAGGTCGTTTTCAAGTCAGAAGAGGCGACAGTCTAACATTAAACTTGCACTCCAATTACAAGCTCAGAAAAGGACATTTGGAGCACAAAAGCGTATTTGGAGTGCACAAGAAACGTTTTGGTGAACCTTGTGCGCTGACCGGGCGGAGAAGTGCACCACAAGCAATGGACTGGAGTTATATTTTGGGCAGGTGTCATTTGTTGCGCGCTACCTCCTTGAGAGGCCAGCTGCCCCAGGTCCGAATGCGATGCCGAAGTCTGAGGGAGCAGGTCTTCAGGAGGTCCAAATCTAAACCTGGTGGACAGACCTGCAACCTGAGGAGAACTGAGGTGACAGAACGACACGGGCGATCAACGCGGGGATCCGAGCGCTATTCCGCCAAGAAATGGTGCCGAGCTCTGCTTACTGGATAGCTTCAGCAAAGCCGTCAGTACGGTGGGGCACGACCAGAGTCGGAGTACTTGGAACCATCCTGTCATCATCGTCAAAGAAATGTTGCTGAAACACAAAAGCACACGTTAAAGCATCACGGCGCGAAGTTTAGACTTTGCGAACACGATGTCCTTCTGTTTTACGAGGTCGACAAAAAAACAAACAAAAACAACCCTCTTTCAATGGGAGTGCAGTGGCACATTGACTGATGGAGCCATTTTGGGCCACATTTTACAGTCCTCATTGTTTGCCCCAGTCATGAAAATCTGCAAAACGGTAGCAGCCAGTGGAGGCATTTGGTGAACATCCTCCCATCTACTTTGGCTTACCGGTGCGGAGCGTCAGAACATGGCAGCCAATACAGACGTGACAACAAAAAGCTTCGTAACGCTCCAGACAGTCCAGCGACGAAGACGTCTTACCATGCTGCCTATCCCTGGCGTCAGCTGTGGTCCTCGACCTACTGATGGTCGTCGGAGTTGGGAGGACTGTCTCTGGATAGTGGATAGCACACACACAAAGATGCAAAATAAACCTCACCGTTTACTCTATGTGCTTCTTACTTGATGGTTCCTAAGAGCATGCACATGTTTTGTCCCGACTTAAAATGCATTTTTTGTTGGGGAGCGTGTATGTGGGGCCCCTTGCCCGCCAGGCCACACCCACTAAGAAAGCGGCACTCGGTTTAAAAGGAACTGTCCAATCCAAAATGAGCCGCAGAGCACCCAAACTCTACGGGACGGTCGAGTGGCGTTCATTCGTATCGCACGGTGTGCTATGCTACGGTGCGACACCTGCTATGCCGATGAGGTTTTAAGTTTACCTGCGTATGGGGGGGCCCGAGCTCTGAAGCTGGGGGTTGGATGTACAGTCGTGGGGGGAGGGAGTGCGGGGGCCTTCGGGGTTGGGGTAGGCGGAGCGTAAGGGAAGAAGTGGAAGGTGAGGGCGTGGACGGGGAGGACGTCGGGGGGACGTGCACGGCCTCCTTCTGGGCTTCCGACTCGCCGGTGCTGCCGGCGTCACCTGGAGGAGATGACCGACGCATTTAGGGAATGCAAGAGGAAGGAGCAAAGCAAAACCCTTTTTAACGTCGCTCACTGCCGCGGGACGGCTCAGGGGCACCCTGGGAATGATCCTCCTCAGCGCCGGTGGGAACGGAGGGCTGCTGTCCGTCTTCTTCGGCATTCCCATCTTCCTCGCTGCTTTCCTCTTCTCTCTTCATAGCAGCGCTACTTGCATCATCGCCATCCTCCTCGTCATCATCATCTTCTTCCTCCTCTGCCCCCTCCGCCTTATACTAAAAGTGAAGTAGCGCTTTGAGAACAGATCTGGATATGTTTGGACAATAAGGAAAAAAAAGGGGTGCACCTCCTCTTCCTCCTCCTCCTCTTCCTCCTCCCCTTCTTCTTCTTCACCCTCCTCCTCCTCCTCCTCCTCTTCCTCACACGCACCCGTGGTCTCCGGTTTCTCTCCTCTGCTCTCACGGCTTTCGCTGTCTGTGTCGATAACAATCACTTCACGAGTCAGACCTGACTCCTGAGGGGACGTCCGATCTGAAGGGACCGACTGGGACATGCCTTCCGCCTCTATGTCGTCATCTTCGGGGATGACAGGAAAATCTTCTGGAAGCTCCTACACAGCAAATAGTGCAAACCTTGTGATTAGCCCATCACATCTAATCAAGCACGAAAATAATCGGGCTCGGCGGGAAATTCACACTGCTACCGGAACAGAATGCGACACCCAAGTCGGAGGAAACAAAGGTAGTCGGAAATGTGTCGGGTCACAGCTGGAGTTGAAACATTCGGGAACTCTGGAAGGAATTCTTTCTTTGAAAACATTGTCAACTGACCTGACTGTTGTCGGGTGAATCTTGTCTTTCACCTTCATCCCGTAGATCTTCGATCTCCTCATCACCTTCCATCTGCGGCAGTGTTAATTCAAAGTTAAAGGACAGCAAAAAAAAAAAAACACTTGTAAATGCCCTGGTTTGATTTTCACAGTACAGTACTGTATTTGCTGCGTCAGCAATTTTTACGATTCTTTTCACATGTTAAACCAATGTAACCATTACAATGTTAATGTTAAAATGTTGGCTTGGCTCATTAGGTAGGACATTCTCGAAACAATTCGAATCACAAAAATGAAATCGGAAACCGAGCTGCTTATGGAAGACAAACTATGAGACATCGACCAAAGGTTTGGCCAGGACTCGAGCGTAACGCAGCACTTTTTGACATTTGGATGGCAAAAAAATTCAAGGAGGCAATCGGGACGTCTGCATTTACCTGCAGGCCAAGAGTTTGTCTCAGTCGGAGCTTTTTGGCGGTCGAAGGGGCCTGAGAACTCTCTGGTTTGATGTCGTCTTCCTCGAGATCGTCCTCTCTACTTCGCTTTGAACTCGCTGTGGTCAAACAGAAAATCATTGCGCGCCATTACGGGGCTTTTATAGAACTGCTGCTGCGCTTCGGTACGACGGCGCAACAGCGGGCCACTTTGCAGGCGAAGTTTTGAGGACGCTTGGAGGCATCGCACTGCGGCTTACGTGCTCCGACGACGGCAGAGGATGTCGACGGCCGTTCTGTATCTACGCTGCTGCCTACATCCTGAGACGCCGCTTGCTGCTGCTGCTGCTGCTGCTGAGTGGGCTGGACAAATGCCGTGGCCTGCGCGCCGCTCGGTTGCGTTATGGATGCGGGTGCGCTAAGACTGGAGATGACCGTGTGGGCAGCGGCTCCCGTAGTCATCAACACTAAACAAACAGAAGCATTGCGAATACTTGAGACCTCAGCACTCTTCGGTTCCACTTGCACGTCGGTGGAGGACCGTCGTTTATCCATCGGTTACAGGTTACGGGTCCAAGGAAATGTCTACTACTAGTAGTAGTATTTAAAAAAAATAATAATTCTTACCCTCTTGGCTCTCGGTCTGTGTGGTTGGCATAACAGTGGCGGTGGGCGTTGGCATGGGGACGGTTGCTGGGGTAACCATAGGTCTGATACTGGCACGGGGCGTTGACTTGCTGCCAGGTGAAGGGCTCGGTTTGTTGCTCGGAGATGGAGCACTTGGGGTGGGGCGGATATTGGCAGTCGGCGGTTCGGACAGGCTCGAGCTGTTCGCCAAATATGGGACGATATTTAAAGGGTTTAGAAAACCATTTTGTTGATTCGAATACCTGAGAAACTGCAGTGCCCACTCGGTCCCAAAAAAGTGGAAAAAAAAAAGAAAAAAGACGTGACCAGAAGCCAGCGGCCGCCACGTGAACAAGTTAACGCGGGAAAGATGCGGCACAGACAATAAGATTGAGCGCAAATATTAAACAACAGAGAATTAGCCCACAAGTTTACATTGTACCTTTTTAGACAAGGGAGTGTGTGACTGATTTTACGTTGATTTAAAAAAATGACCTGCACGGATGACAACTTTCATTCCGTACTCACTCAAAGAGTGTGTTTGTCATTTCGTGCATTAACATGACAGCGGTTGCCTGATTTTTATGCCTGAATGACTCTGGAAACAACTATTGGTATTATTTGTAACAGTCCACGTAGAAGGACTGTAGGAACACATGGGAGGTTGGCGATCGGTCATTTGTTTTGATCCCGGAGGCTTGGAAAGGTCATATTGGTCAAGCTGAAACACAACACCAGGTGCCGCTGTGCAATGAATCCAGAAGTCACCCACCTGCTCCGGTCCTGGGCTGGACTCTTCAAAGAGAGCTGTCTCTGGTCTCCAGATCTGTTCTGATCACCCACCTAAGTAAAGAGGCAACTTGAAATGACAACTCAAGAGCCGATGACGCCGACGTGATGATTGCTGCGTTTCATAATTTAAAAGACCGGCGACACGTGCATGCTTGTGAAACGTTCAGGTTGGATTACCTTCGACCCAGTCTGGTCCTGAGATTCCTCTCTGGGCTCGGAGTGAGTTTGAGTCTCCCGCAGTTCTCGGTCAAGCCGCAGAAGTCTTCCTTCATACTGTGACTTCATGGCGTTCATCCTCACCTCCAGTTCCTCCTTACACTGCTTGAGGTCTTCAACCTCTTTGCTCAGATTCTCTTTTGCAGCTGAATAAAAAGCGCCATGGGTGTAAGAAAAACAATTAAAAAGTGTACCGGTATATTGCAGCTTAGGATACAGTATTACGTTTGAGTGCACAGTTGGAACCTACAATTCAGCTGGTTGATTTTCGTCTTGGCTCCGACAAAGGCCTTCTTAGTCTTCTCCTCTTTGTCAGCCATCTGCTGTCTGAGCTTCTCTTCCTTGTTCTTGCTTACAGACAGCTGCAAGCCAAGCATTACAAATTACTCCAAACACTCTGTTATTGAAATGGATATGTGTTTTGTTTTGTTTTGTTTTTTTAAGCACATCGAGACGTTAGAGATCATTGGGCTCAATCGCATTCAGTTGACGACTTTCAAACGACAGCCAAAAACACACCTCCTGTCGGAGTCGTTCAAGCTCCACTTGGAATGGCTGATTTGCGTCCGTTGCGGGATGATCATCACTGGCGTGGATCGACAGGTTCTGGTCCGGAATCGTCTGCGCCGCTTTGAGAGCTTCATTGGCTTGCTTGACTTCCTGTAGCTGTTCTTGAAGGCGCTTGGTTTCTGCTTGTTCAGCAGACAGCATCTGACAAACAAAGTCGGAAATTTTAGATTTTAAGCACGGCAGAATCTTCTTCCAACAATGGCCCACAAACTTTTTTCATACAAGATCAGAATTCCCGCAGGTCGGAAACTAAAATTTTAATATAAATAATAACATATTTTTCAGCCTCGAATAATAGATGAACTGGAAGTATTGTCATTTTTTTAGTCTTTCATCCGTTCGGACTGGCTGCTTTGGACTGAGCCACGGCCTGGTGATTGGGGGACCACTGGTGTAGAATATGCCTTACCTTATGCAGAGTGTCCACCTGGCCTTGCAGCTGAGACACCTATGGAGAAGCAAGCAGACACAAAACATTTTTATTTTGTTTGTTTGTTTGTTTTTTTTTTAATATGCGCGCAGCCCAGTGGTTAGGGGCCCAGTGGTTAGGGGCCGCTATGCTAGTGGACAATATAAACCGAGGGGAACACAGTCACTCACCTGACTCTCTGCTTGGTTCAAAGAGCTTTTAAGATTGTTTATCTCCTGCTGGTGGGTCTCCTGGAGTTTTTTATGACTGGTAAGGTTTTGCTGCAGAGAGTCTTTAGTCTGAAGGAGCTCCTTCTGGATCCGCTGAATCTGGCTTTGACGGGCCTGAGCCTGACATTGAGCCGATTTCAGTTGGTTCTGTGTCTGCAATCGAGACCGATAGTCCGGGATGACTACTGTGGATTCATGTTGAGGAAACTCAGTAGCACTCGCCGGGGTTTACGTGGAGTCTTGTATTCCGATTCGAATGAAACCGAGTGACCAAACGAAATGAAAATACTGCATATAAACAACTCAATCGGAACAAAAAGACCATATCCAAATGCAATTTCATTCGTGTTCACAGGGGAGGCGTATTCCTTTGCCGATCCGGACAAAACGTCATGGAGACGGTTTCATCGGAATGGCCAGGCTGCGTTCGGTCCGCGCATGCTCTGCCTTGATGTAAATGCGTAGCGGCGGCGTCATTTTGATGCGTCTGCGCTGGGACGACGTGTTTTAAACTACTTGTAAATTGTTTTCAATCCATCTGTTGCCTTCATAAAATTGTTAAAACAATCACAACTCCTGCGCTAAACGCATGACGGAACTCTATCTTGATACATGCCATGATCTTTACACCGCTCTGGGTATCACGCGGCTGTGCCGACTAATGTGCCGGTACCCGCAACTGGCAGAAATAGATCGCGTCACACGTAAACCGGTTGACCAGATCTCTCCGGTCGGAATGATTTCAATCAAAAGGACAAACAAGTCTCCATGTAAAACCAGCTATGCGTCAACCCTCCTAAAAGCGTCCCATTTTTGAGGGAATATGACAGCCGGTGTTGTAGGGAAGCGCCGCTTACTGTACCTGCTGCGTGAGGGTCTTTGCTTGTTGAAGCTCTTTCTGACTCTGCTGCAACTGTGTCTGGGTTTGAGACAACTGGGCTTGAGTCTACCGAAACAAAAATAACAATGGAAATGGTTCATGATGCTTATTTAAAGTCAGAAGACTAAAAAGGTGGTCTTGCCCGCTTTGACGGAGAGCTATGTAAATACAGTGTTATAGTTTTGCACACCCCACTTTTCTTTTTTTTTTTGGAAAAGAAGTTTAAAATATAGCGTGAATATCATTCCACTTCAGAACTCTGTCAAAGTTGGTGCTAAGTCTGCACAAAAAAAAAAAGACATTTTATACCATTGTATTTGAAGCCTGAAATGTGACAAAAGATTAAAAAGTTCAAGGGGACCGAATACTTTTGCAAGCCACTGTATTTAAAAAACAAACAAAACAAAAACAAACAAAACAGACCCTCTGTACTTGTCTGAACATACAGATTGCACCTCCCGCTCAAACCAAAAATAAGTTTGTGGTTACAATACCTGTGTTAGCTGATTCTGGTTCAGCGTCAACTGGTTTTGGATCTCCTGTAACTTTTCCTTGGTCTGTTGGTTTTCCTTTTGGGTATTCTGAAGCTCCTGCTCGGAGTTTTTGGCCTGGAAAAAGGAATCCAATTTGACTCGCATGCCCACACTCCGGCTTCATCAGCATTAAAGATCCGTACTTTATATACTCTGGAAAAACTTCACACTTGTTTAAGGGTCTATGAACCAAACCCAGTCGTGAATAGAAAAAAGACCCCCCAAATGCTCATCATTGCGGCAAACAACTCGGGCTAAACTTCGGCAACGTACAAAGATTCACTTTATCATAGTTCCTGGCTAACAACCCACCATAAAATGCCATCAGCTGTCATTTATTTCATAACGCTCTGCACGGAGCCTCATCTCACCTTTATTGAATCATGGTTTGCACAATGATTCGAGGCTTTGCACTTAGATAAGGGCCGGTTAATTTAACGCTGTTGAAATCATACAATTCTACAGTTTGCATGTTGTTATTCCTTCAAACGAGCGCATATCCTCTCTCGCGGCGGCAGCATGGTGCTTACTTCCTGCATGGACTCTTTCAATGCGGCCAGCTCCTCTTTGACCTTGTTGAGTTCCTCTTGACTTTTCGTGAGCTCCTGCTGCTGCACCGGACTTGTTTCGCCTTGCGTTTTAGCCGAAGTCTCCTCGACCAGCTGGGAAATAGAATAGAGCAGGTCTTACCGCAGCCGTCGACGACGACATTAAAAACCAACGTGACAAACTGCAAGCCCACCTTATCGTGCTGGGCTTTGAGCTCTTCATACTGGGTCTTGTAGCGGCGCCCGATCTTTTTCACCTGCGTGATGGTCTTGTTTTTCTCAAGAATGTCATTGTTTTTTGTTCCCACTTCTTTCTTCAGTGCGTCCCTCTCTGCTGTTAGGCGGGTCACAGACTCTCTCAGGCTTTTCGCTTGAGACTGCGCCGAGTTCGTGCTGGTGCTGGATCTGGGATCAGGACATATTTCATCATACTGGTTACTTGCATTTCAAAGTAATACGTTTCTTCACAATATTAACATCGGTGTGTGGAGTAATAGGATATTCATTACTTTTAAGTTACTTTTTAAAAATTGCTTTTGACATTTTAAAAAGAAAAAAAGACATTTGCAAACATAGATGGGAAGGTTAACATGTAATGAGGATTTTTCAACTATATTGTGTGGGGTGTAATGTTTCGACTCTGGTGGGCGATCGCTGCCATTGATTTTATATTTGTATCAATAAGATGTTTTTTTTTTGTAAATATCAGAAATTATATTTTCCAATAAATATTACTCAAATGAATTTACACACATGGGAAAGATAAAACAGAAAGCACAATGCAAAGCCCTCGGTTACTTGTAATTCTCTTTATAGCACAGGGAGACCAAATGAAACTAAAAAACGAGCACATCGGGCTCCTATGGAATGGGCGTTCTATACGTTGACCGATTGGGTTTGCCGCAGCGTTAACATCATTGGCCAGCGCAGGCTTTCTGCCGGGCGGACTTGCAAATAACCGATCAGAGTGATCTGCATTTGGCAGAGTGCAAGCATTGACTCTTAATTCTTCACAAATTCCAAATGCTGATTTGTATTTATTAGGTTTGATCCTGCTTGTGCTTTGAATGTGTTTTGCATTTTGATTTTTTGGTATCCTGACAATGAATGGTCTGATGTTTCTAGCGTTTTTTTGTTGTTGTTGTTTTTACCTGGCCAGCTCAGTCTTCAGCTTGGCTGTCTCCTCTACCAGCTGGGAGATACGCCTCTGCTGTGCTTCTCTCTCAGCGGTGACTTTTTGTTTTTCCTGAACGTCGCCATCTTTCTGCTGGCTAACAAGTTGCTGTGGACAAGGAGTGGAAGAAAATGCCTTTTTAAAAGTACATTGTTCTGGGCAAGGACATGAAGAGCAGAGGCTTCACTAAGTACAGATTGAGTGTGGCCGGAACGCCGCTTTGTATGTACCAATAATAGCTTGTCAGTGATTCCAAACTAGAGTGTGGTGGCGGTCAAAGATTATCGGCGGTGCTCTGAAAAAATGATCCAATTGATCTTGTTAGAAGATGATTATGTCTTAAATCACAAAATCTTTGTTCATCTATCGATGGTAGCAACGCAGAGTGGTAGGAAGAACATTGCATTGCATGGCAGAAGGGGCACAATCAATCTGTGAAGCTACCAGTTACGATTCATACAACAGAAAAAGTCATCGTGGCTTTCTGCGACTGTGCCAGCTTTGTGTTCAATTAAGCAGGCCCGGATTTCACAGCAAGTCATTCGATTGGTGAATCCAATGAGAGACCATTAATAGGAATCCAGGAAATAAGTTTACGCGACAGTGTCAAGACCTACCTGTACTTTGGCTTTCAAGTGTTTTATGTCTTCCTCTAACAACCTTTTGTCAGCCTGCAGGGAACCGTTTCTGTCAGAGAGATGATACAATGACTCATTGAGGGGGCTAATGTTGGACTCCAGCTTCTTCACCTGGTTGACAGAAGAACAAAGGACGACGAGTCAGAATGAGGCCGAACGGAAATCAAGACGGGCAATAAAACTCATATACGCACGCACGCACAAAGAGGACTTACTTTTGCCTGTGCTTGCTGTAGCTCCTGTTCCAATTGCTCTCGGTCCATTTTCAGCAACTTGTTGGTCTCTTGGAGAGTGCCGACATCGCCCATGTTGTTCAGCTGAGCCTCTTTCTGAGCCAAGGTCTTTGTCGTGGCCTGACGGCATGACAAGATCTGTGTTTGTGTCCATTTACTCCTCAGAGGCAGTACTCAAACTAAATGGCTTCCTTGATCATAGATGAGATGTTCCAAAAAGTTTGTTGACCCATCCATCCATCCATCCATCCATTCCTACCTGCAGCTTCTCTCTCTCAGTGTTCAGAGCTTCCTGAAGCTCCTTAAGTTCCCGGTTTTGGTGTTCCATTCGCTGTTTGTAGCGCAGAGCTTCGCCTTCAGAGGCCTCACCTTGGGCCACGGCAATCTCCTTCTCTTTTCGTACAAACCTATATCATGCATAGATGTTTCAATTTCCCCCACTTGCTACGAAGCAAAGTTCAACATCCGACTCACAAAAAGGTCACTTGGAAACCCTCTTCCTCATCCACCTTTTGCTGTGTGGGTTACGCCACATTACCTGAGTATTTCTTGGATCTGTTCAAGTGTCTTCCCTTCCTCATTGAATGATAAGTCAAGCTGCTGCTGCTGCGGTTGCTGTCGATGACTCCTTGCGGCCATTTCATCCATTTGTTGGTGCAGGAGAGCGTTCTGCCTTCCCAGCTCTTCACCGCGCAAACTCTGACGAACCAATTCATCCTGAGGGAGTCCAAGTGAATACCGATGAGTGACGGCGACTGTTTCCAGCATCGTACTGGAAGAAATTTAGTGTTAGTTTCTGCTTAAAAGTTCCCTAGTGCTTCCTCCGACCTTCAGCTGCTTCTCCAAAGTTGTCCAGCCTGTCGTTTTTTCCTCTAAGAGTGTGTTGGACTTGTTCAGTTGCTCTTCAATCTCTCTCTTCCGTTCCGCCTCTTGTTGCAATGCTTTCTTTAACTCCTTGAGGACTTCCACGTCTGCGGCATGAAGCATCAGCTCTCGCTCGTATTTAGCCTGAGCCTCACCAGCTTGCTTGGTCTGAGACAAATACAATTTTGATTGGGTAAAACCGGCAAAAAACGGATACGCACAACTGACCACAAGTCTACTTGATTTCGTCAAAAACGGGTGAGCGGTCTCATTGAGTTATATGGGTACGCAGACAAATCCAAAGAAGCAACGTTCTTCCAATGCATTGCGTGCTATGGGACAATACGGAGAACGACGAATCAAAATCGATTAACACAATGAGGTATCTGTAAAAGATGCTGCTGCGAGGACACACTCACCTTTGACCTGTTCTATTCCTCCAATGCTTTGGTGGGGCCGAATTGAGGCGAGGCGTGTAAAGGTCAAGTGTGTCCAAGCACAACGAGAAATGCATGAGTGTTTGTGCGTGTCTGTGTGTACTACTGACCTGAAGCAGGCTCTCCTGTATGGCATTCTGCTCCAGAGCGACAGCTCGAGCGGCTCTCTCCAGGGCATCCTGCTGCTCTGCTTGGCTGGCCTTTAAACTGCGCTGCAGGTCACTCACCTGGAAAAGGAGAACGCTTTATACTGCACTTCTTCTTAAAGGGTTAAGCGATTTATTATGTTTTTTTTTTTTCTGGCGGGTTTGGATGTGTGTGGAACAAAGCACACAGAAACACAGGCTGATTTCCTACAAATACTCTGTGTGTGTGTGTGTGTGTGTGTGTGTGTGTGTGTGTGTGTGTGTGTGTGTGAGAGAGAGAGAGACAAGACCTACCTGTTTCTCAAGTGTGTCCAAAGACTTCCTCCTCTCTTCTTGCGCTTGCTGATTTTTCTTCTCCACCTCTAAAATTCTGTTTTCCAGCTGCTTCTGGATGTCTTCTGATTCCTTGAGTCTCGTCTCAACAGGAAAACGTAGCTGAGAGGACATCAAGAAAAGGCTGAATGTGCATGTGTGCGCGCGCATGATCGCAAAAAGAAATGGCATCAATTTTACCTCTTTCTCATTCTTCAGACTGTCTTCCAAAGTCAGGACCACAGCCCTGTACTGCTCAACAGTGGCATTAGCATTTGTTAGCTGCTCGGTCAGTTTGCTGTTCTGTTCCTCTGCAGCATTTAGATTACTTTTGACTTCCGCCAGCTCGGACGGGCCGGGCTGCTGAGTGGTTTGAACCGGAGAGCGCACTGAAAATATCGAGGGGAAAATGGTTCAAGAAAAGGGCCATGGCATTGACGAGAGCACCGCATTATTTCACTCAGAGGAAATTGTTACCTCTGACGGGTGTTCGAAGAGTTGCCGCTCTGGTTACTGGAGTGCTCGTACCCTCAGATGAGACAGAAGCCAGTTGAGCTTTCAGCGCCGCCACCTGCTGCTCAGAATTCTTCAACAACTCTCTTGTCTTCTGCTGCAGGGTGTTTTGAGTCTGAAGTTGTTTTTTAGCTTCTACCAACTGAGCCTGGATGGAACAAAACAGGATACGGAGATGGACGAAATGACTGAGGTCCACAAGCTTAGTTCAAGTTAAATATTAAAACGCAAATAGGGTTACGTGCATCCATATTGCGTCCAAGGGTATGTCTCTGAGCTACTTCCTGCTCCAGCCGAGTCTTCATCGAGGCCAGTTCTGTTTCCAGATTCTCAATCTTACTGTTCAGTCGGTGACGGATATCTGTGTCTGTGTGTTCCATTGTTAACTGCACCAGTTGAGAGAAAGAAGCAGCCAGAAGTGAAAATGAATTTGAAGGGATCATATGGAATATTGACTTTTTGCCTGTTTACAAATGGTTGGGTTTTGATGTGCCCGCCCTGCCATCAAGTGTGAAATTGACATCAATTTTTGTGAGCGGGCTATCTTTGACAATATTTCTGTGTTGTTATTCTGCTGTTCTGAATTTTGCCTCAAAGTGACAAGACAGCGGGGCTAGTTTAAATGAGACACAAATGCATACATGGGTCATAACCGCCCGCCCCAAAATAGAGATGGCTTTTGACCACAGAACGCCAGATATCTTTTCTCAAGACATCTGGAAAGCACTTTTTGGAAAACAAAGAAGAGGAAACATGAGAAGAACAGAAAGATGGTACCTGTATGGTCTTGAGGTTGGTGAGTAGTAGGTTTTGGTTACGTTGCTCTGCCAGCATGACCTCTTTCTCTCGATTGAGTCGACTCTCTGCTTGTTTTAAGATGTCTCTCTCTTTAGTCAAGTTCTCTACACGCACCTACAGACATAAATACACTTCCATGTGCAATGGCAGTCGAGGGGACAAACAAACTGGATACATGCTGGGTGCAGCCCTTTCAGCATGGAACATATCTCAGAAACGTGTTTGTATCAATTGGTGACGCAACATTGGGTGCAGAACATTGGGTGCAGAATGCTGTTCCTCACCTCCTCAAGAGCCAGTTTTTCATTAACTTGCCGCAGGTCCTGGGTCATAGTGTGAATAATGTGCTCATATCGTAGGACTGTCTCTGACATTTTTTGGTTCCTGTCCTGGAGAGCTGAGGTCTCTCTACGAAACGCTGTGACGGTCTCTTGGAGCATCTCATACCTACCGTAAAAAAAGCGATCCAGCTCAACTCAACTGTATTTCTAGAGCACTTTAAAACAACCACCGCTGTATACAACGTGCTGTACATGGAGCAAATATCATACATACAACAATAAACAAAACAATAAATTAATAACGAAGACGGTAGAATGCACAAGACAGTAAAACTAAGATCAAGTCGGAGTCATGCTGAGTCAAAAGCCAAAGAACACAAATGAGTTTTGAGACAGCAAACAAAGCAATTCATGGAGCCATTACCCCCCCCCAACCCCGCCGAACACACACACACAAAAACAGAACATGGCTCATAATGTACATTAATCACGACTGCAATTTTGCTCACACCTCTTGTTGCTGAACTCCACTTGAGAAGTCAATCTGGCATTACTGGAGCGAACCTCTGTCAGTTGACGCTCCAGTCTGTCATGAGAGTCATTCAACATTCTGTCGTTCTCTGCCTTCTCTTTCTTATACAAGGTGAAGGCGTCATGTAGCTGGAGGAGCAGAGACCCACATTGAGTTGAACACATGCTTGATTTTAACACCACTTGATCACGGCAATTCAGAAGAATGTTTGTTTTACCTGCTTTAATGCAGCTTTAGCCTGGGCGGTTTGTACAGAGTCAGCACCGGCGGCGGCTCTCTGAGGCGTTGACCGAGTTACTGGGGCTGACGGCCGAGTGGGTGCAGGGGGCGAAAAATCTGGACCGAGGAAAATGCATAAAATAAGCAAATGGATTTATGCCTTTTCAGGGAAGATTCATTCTCTCATTTGTTTTGGAGTGCCTGGATGTTGACAATCAACATTATGATGCGAGTGTTGCTCACATAAATTCACGAGTACCTCAGTCAAGTTAGGATCAAATCTGTACAATGAAACCTGTGACCTGTGATTTGTTGTTTCTTTGTGAATCACCTGCGTAGCCACATTCTCTGACCTTATTGCATATTAGATACATAGCAAATTATTCAAAACCATTAACAGGTCCAAAATGGGGTTCTGGATGTCACCTTGAGAGGGCAGGTTCAAGCCGCCGGTGCTCTGCGTTAGCAGGGCTTTGTACATGTCTCTCTGCCTAGCATTGGAGTCTGCAAGTTGCTTCTGTTGGTTCCGCTGGTCTCTCAGCTGCTCTGCCTCCTTCTGAAGTTTATCCACAACGGCCTCCAACTCTGAGATACTGCAAGGAAACAGACAGGCAGATGTTTCATGGATTTCGGAGCATTTATTTAAAGCAGATAGTTCATTAGCCGTAGAGCGTTAAAAACTGTAGCAGGCATTAAATGACAGTGGGAGTGCATGTGTGGCGTGTGGAACAATTGCATAATTTACTTTTGGTTTTATTAAATACAGTTGAGTTGAGATGAGTGCTTTCATCAGTCACACAACAGGGTCATATTTTTGACACAAAGTTCTTAACATTTGGAACATTTTAGTTGTAATTCTCATATTTGAAATCAAAATATCTAGAAAGTGGAATTTGGAGCGTTAACATGTCATCAGCTATGAGTAACGGCATTTCAAGCAATGCATCATTAAAAGTAAAAAAAAGTAGTAACAGTTACCGTGTAGATGTTGCATGGGCTTGCTGCCTTGTGCTCTCTTCCTCGAGCTTCCTCAGCCTTTCCAGCAGGCTTCTGTTTTGCGCCTGGAGCTCCTCCACGCTGCGGAAGGAAATCTGTTGCTGCCTGGTGACCTGGCCGGAAATATTCGAGGAAGTGCCATCGTCTTTGGTCACCTGATGACCTCGGGCTTCTTCAAGTTCAACTAGCAGTGCACATACCTGGAAGGAAGGAAAAGTAATACCACGCTGAGGAAATTATTTTAGCGATGCAAATCGTGGATGAGAAATGAAGTGTTACAAGACAGGTGACTTTTTATTTGTTGGTTATGATAATGGCGCTTGGCTGCTTGAAACACAATTGGGTGTTTGGTGTACGTGGCTATTTGCAAAGTACTTGGGTGGATGTATCATCCAGCAGTCTTTCTGTCCTCAGCTTGTCCTTCTCCAAATTGTCACACTGTTGCTTGGCCTCGTCCTTCTCTTTCTGTAAACGGTAGATCTCCTAATACGGACACACAAGTTGAATTTAGGGAAACATCCGGTTATTCCTATTCATTTTCATAAGAATTGAAATGATGTGTGCATTGAATGTCGACGTCTCAGACCGTTCGAGCCTGTTCCAGTTTATTCCACAGGGAGGCCATTGAATTCTGCATGGTTTCGTACTCCTCCCGCTGACGTTTGAGGACAGGCGCTTTGGATTCCACCTCCTGGATGACCTCATCCAACACTTTGTTCACCCTTCTGGTCTCCTGCTTCTCCAGTTGCAGCCGAATTTCACACTCGGAATATGCATTATACAGCTGACAGCACACAGACAAAAGAAAGATGGCAAATCAGTCAACGGAACAGTAGCGCGCAAAAGACAATGTTGAGCACCCATTTGACTGTTTTTTTGATTTTACGACAATCAATGAGATTGCATTTCCATTTTTTTGCCCATCATTTCCTAGAATGAATGATGACGTACGTCAAACATAAAACAACGTATCTCACAGAAGCCTATATGGAAACTCAAAAGGTGGTTCAAGACAGGCTTGTTGTTCAACTTACGTCAAAGAACTTCATTCCAGGCTTGACGATGGCAGCAATGGCGGCTGCAGATGGACACATGGACTCCAGCTGCTCCTCAGTCAGTGAGGGCGCACCTCAAGGAAAACATTCGACACATTTTAGAACAATGGGCAAGAAAGACTACATTGACGAGAAAGCAGTGACTCCCAAACTTTATGTCCACCCTTTATATCCCGGCAATTTTGCAATAATGTGGGCTAAAAAAATACATTAGCAATATATATGAACTAATGTACGACTATTCAATTGGAGTTTTTTTTTTTTTTTTAACCAGACAATAGATCCAAATTAGAAAACAGCATGGGAACCTTTCCACAGGCAAACAAAAATCTCCATAAAAGAACGAAAAGAAAGTGGTGCTCTTTTCTTACAACAGTATTTGCCGGAGGCCTTCGTCACAGAATTTTCCAACTCTTTCTCCATTTTCTTGATCTTCTCTTGAAGCTCCGCCTCCAAATGGGCCTTTTGCTCATCCGCATCAGACACCTTCTTTTCCAGCATTTTGTTAGCTATCGGGACACAGTAAGAGAGAGGACGTCGAGGGATTGAGCAACAAACATGCAGGTTTTTCACATTTTCCAGCGGAGGTACTTCAAATGCCTTGAAGTGGACATGAAACTTTCATTTCAGAAGAAACAAAAGGTTCCGCACACTAGATATTCAGATGAGATGAGAGGTCAATCAAGTTCCAGTAAAAAATAATCAGCAAAAAAAAAAAAAGCATAAAATGTCTCAAATGGAATCAAACCTTCAGCAGTGTTTTTAACCAATTTGCCGAGTTCTTCTACTGCTCTGTTCAGTTCTTGATTCTTAGTTTCCATCTCTGCTGCTACACCCTGCAAAATGGGATGCGTTTAAAAAACGTTTTCATATATGAAGAGGAAAAACTTAATTGTGATTACATCCAAGACTAGTAACTAAGAAGGACAAGTGCCTCGAAAAGATGAGCAAAGAGTACACATTTGTTGATTCTACAAGATCTCACACCTTGTAGAGAGAAGACAACTTGATATGGGCATTGAGCTCATTCCGGTATTTCTCCTCCATGGCACTCAGTTCGTCCTTAGCCTAGAGTTGAACAGAAAGTAAGAAAACTGGGTCCCATTTCACATTTCCAACACATAGCTCATTATTTATCATGTACCGTATTTTCCGACTATGTCGATTATTTTTTTCACTGAGGCAAATGTAAACCCAAACTCTCAGGTTGAGATAACAGCAGTAAACAGTCAGAGCTTTTTCAGTAGCCCTTACCTACAAAAACGAACGTACTATACTTTACATGTCGGGTTCAAGGACCATGCTGACGTATCGATTTGTTTACCTACCTGTTTCAGTTTGTTATTGAGGTCTTCGGCTCGTTCATGCTGGTTTTCATTGGACTGCTTCAGAGAACCGAGTTGACTTTCCAATCTGGTCACCTATTGACAAAAACACAATCAATAGTATAAATGCTACACCATGTATAGAATCATGTGCTTCAAAAACCCCCCCCCCCCCGGCCTTTTTTATTTATTTTTTTTTTTTTACCTTGGCTTATGACAATTTTTAGCAAGAGCAATTGCAACAGCATTGTGTGGAAAAAACAAAACAAAATGGTGGCTATTTAAAAACGTGGATATTATGGATTTTAGTAGAGAAGAGATTTGTCGGTGTCTTTCATAAACCCTCATGGCATGGTCGTGGAAGTCAAGTCCTACTTGTTTGACATACTAAATAATTATATAGCCATTTTTAAAATCTTATGTATCGTGTTGGCTGGACTTGGACAAGTGACAAACAAAATAAAGGCATATTTATTTAGATTTATTCCAATTTCAAATCCTCATCGTGGCTACCCCCGTTTTACACAGTAGACTCACTTTCTGCATTTAACTCCAGCGTTTGTGTGTTACCTGCTCAGTCTCGCTTTTCAGGCTACCCCGCAGCTCTAGAATCTCTTTGCCCGTCTCTCTGTTACTGCTCAGCAGTTCCTCAGTTTTGGTCTTCAGTTCCGCAGATAACCACTCAATTTTCTGATCCAGCAGTTCTTTTTCCTGCTCCATGCGCTTCTCCCGGTGCTACAGGAACATGCACAACCAGGAGATATTTGAGCATTAAAGCAACATGTTATGATTACCTGGCACATGATAAGAATAACAGGGTGGACATTCCCATTATTACAGTTTAAACCAAAGGTTTCTAGGTTTCATATTTTCACTCACAATCAAGAGCGCTTTTGTTGACGGCTCAAGTGATAACAGTCAAGTCAGCATGTTAAAGCACTCCTTCACTGCCTTCCGTTCTGATGAAAGATTGTTTCATTGTATACCTGCACAGAGGCCTCAGAGGATTGGATCTCATCCAGTTTCAACTGCAACTCCAACTTGACTTTGTTGGTCTCCATCAGTTTCTCATTCAGGCGCTTTACATCTTCTAAAATGCACAAAATTACAAGCAAAAAAACTGAAAACCATCCAATTAGGCATATGTGCAGCAATGGCCCTTCACCCACTGGACCCTGGTTTGTGATGTGAGCAAGCATACCAGTCAGGTTCTCCACCTCTTGCGTTCTCTTCTCCAGAAGCCGCGCCAGTTCCTTTTTTTCCGCCTCAATCTCATACTTTGACTTGTACTGCTGCATTCCGATACACGCAGACAGACACATTTTTGTCATCGCGTCACATATTTTATACAACTTTAAATATTATTGACCCATACCTGCTGCTGAGTTTCATCCTCAGGAGTGTCTCCGTCAATTCCCTTCAGAGCACTCAACTCTTCATCTGTGCAAAGAAAAACAAACAAACAACATCCTATAAATAGCATAATGTAAAAGTTAACATTTGGGCACTCTTGTTGTGATGAGTGTCACAATGGACCGATTATACATCCAGCTATCAGTGTTAAATTGAAACAAAGTAAAACATCCCAAGTACATCTCAGCGTATGAGTGAAAACCCACTTAGTTTTTTATTTTCCTCCTTGAGTGTCTGCAGGTCTCGCGTGGCAGACAAGATCTGTTCTTGACTCTCCCCAAGTTTCTTATCGATGTCAAAGTACTGCTGTTCTGTAGGGGAACACAATGAACATGAAACCACAAGTGCAAAGTCACAAATCAGTTTCTCGGTGGCACAAATACTGATGAATCCGTTTACTAAAAGCATCACTATAGTTGATGCAACTAAATATACTCCATGTTGTCATATACACACAGGAAGGACTTTACTATGCCGAATTGAAACAGCTTCTGATAAAAGATGCCTGTCGCCAAAGTTAGCCATGTCGCTTTCGTTAGCCGGTGATGGTAGCATCATGTGCAACACATTGTATTCCCAAATTCATCAGAAGACGGATTTTATATAGTGTATGTAGTGCCTCCACTAAGTGAATCCACGGCAGTTTACAAACTTCAAGAAACTATTCCAACTAAATTGAGCTACGTACCACTGTCCGCTTTGAATCTCTCCTGTTGGGTCCTGAGAGCCTCGTTAGCATTTTGAAGCTCCGTTACAAACTTCTCCAGCTTATTTTGGACACCTTTAGTGAGCTTATTCAACTCCGCTCGCTCCAGAACTTGCAACAGGGCGGCCGCCATCTCCGACCAGCAGGCAAAACGTTTAAAAATGCATTAAAGTTGCCCGGAATGCATACCTTGCTGTAGCTACTCAAGAAAAGTACTGGTAAGCTTTCAATTTTCTCACACGCAACATCAGGAAGTCAACTTTGCACTTCAAATGAAATGCAAAGATACCCTCTGAGAATCGAATGCAACGCAGTCTGTTGTTTTCTAGTTCTTTTAACTGTCTATTGTTTAAAAACTATTATTTTGACCAAATAATCTTCACCTAATTGCGGCAATATGGTGTGGGGAAAATGTTATTTTACTCGTTGTACTTCTTTTATTTTGAAAACTAAAACGGAGTTGACTACTGTAATTGCAATAATAGAACAAGAAGTGACGCAAACAACAGTCAGATGCGACGGAAGTCTCAAGCGCAAAGCATTCTGGTAAATACAGTTTTTGTTCTATTGCTGATCCACCTCAAAGTGTCAAAACTAGTCAAATCCCAGCATTTGAATTTATATTTTGGCAAGGGTCTTTTTGCAGGTATCTTCCACACTGTACGTTGATGGGTCATTTTTGAATCTGTACGTCAGTACTTTGACTACTAAGTTCAGGTGACTATCGCTAGCTAAACGTACTTTATTCTTGTGTGCTTGCTAACTTAACACGAATACTTGACTAACATTAAGCTGTTTGTCATGTAATGTGTTTTGCTTCGACTCACTGTTACGTTCAACGTGCCTAAAGTTTTCGAGCTCTTTTTTTCTATGATGCCACGTCTCCGCTTCTCTTTCAATTCTGATTGCAGCCTGACAATTAAAATGGCATTTAAAGGAGTTCTGTGTTATTATGCAGGTAAGATGGGCCGTGGTTACATAGTAGACGATACTGTGGAGGTATATCTGTCCAAACTATGTGAACAACAATCGGATCATGTCACTGGCCTGGTCATTGGACAGGTAAGTTAACATCTGTTGCAGTTTGTTTGAGAGCTTGGCCAGCTGGTAATATTCACCAGACCTAAGCAACCTTTTGCTGACACTTACTACATTGTAGTTATAGATAAGTGAAATATTTCAAGCCTTTATTTGTTTCAATTTTGATGATTAGGACAGAAAGACACAAAAATCCAATGTTTTTTACAAAATTCGAAGAATCATCAGAAAGTTCATCCTTGTAGGCTTTGTGTGTCCTAACCGTGACAGCTAATTGACACAAAACAACTGCAGAGGTTATTGGCAGCCTTTAAACGGTCTCAGTCTGGCTCTGGCAAAGTAGGCTTCAGAATCATGGGGAAGACTGCTGACTTGACACCCCACATTGACGAGAAAGGGTCTCAAAAATAAATTGCACAAGAAGCTGGAGACTCACAGTGCGATGTGTGAACGTAAACGAAACAAACTATTGAAATACATGAACTTTCCCTCGATATTGTCATTTTTTTTCTCGGCGCCCACCTGTATGCAGTATATTGCTTCAGCACAGTCATGAAATTAAGACTGCCCTTAATGATTGCACATTTCAGAACTCAATTCAGAGGGATTTTGTCGTCATGGCATGTCGAACACCCTCAAGAGAGGAGCCCCTTGTTGGTGCAGGAAAGTCCCCAGACAAAGAATGGATCAGTGAGCACGCTCGACAGGTAGGAACTCGATATAAGACCGGGATGACCATACTCAGGTGGTCACGACCCATTTTGTTTTTTTGTTTTTTTTTTTAGGCAGAAAGTCCAAGGAAAATGAGTTGTACAATGTGTAAGATGGGCAGTAACTGAATCACATCTGTTTTCACCGGTGTGCATTCTGAATTGGTTTGTGCAGGTTTCCAGAATGTTGCCTGGGGGCTTGTCTGTGATAGGAGTATTTGTCATCTCTGATGCCGATGCAAAGGAAACACTAGCCTCACTTCGTCAGGTGAGGCTCCTTTTCACACTTAAATCAATCCTTCTCAAATAGGGAGAAGGGCTGCTTTCAATGTGTAATTGCACATTCACTACACTAGGTGGCAGTACTTGTATTTATATACACAAACAGAATGTGTCGGTGTGTGGGTGTGTGTGTGCATGTATAATATATGAAAGAACAGAATGTGTGGGTGTGTGTGTGCATGTATAATATATGAAAATCTTCATTTTATTCCTCATTCAAAAATGTTTATTCAATTACATAATAAATGTGTGCGTGTGCGTTTGTGTTTGTGTGAAGCTGGTGTTTGCAGTGCAGCGCCTGATATCCTCTGAAAGCCTGTGGAAAGCTGATGATAATGAAGTCACAGACTGCGTCACACTGCATATCAACCCCAAATCCAGAAAGTATCCTTTGGCACGACTGCCTCAGTGGATTGTGCTGAATGGCTGAGTTACTTGTTGTACATCTTTAATCCGTCCCATCAGAATTAGCTGCAGAACATTTGATATAAAAGATCCCAAGGTGAGTCCTCAGTCATATCTTCTCTTTGCAGCTTTTAGAAAGCTAATGGACCTTCCGGCAGTACTGACGGAATGTCCACCTCTGGATACCTTTCCATGGCACTCAAGGATTTTTTGTGAATCTCTTCCAGAGTTTGGCCAAGCCTGCTGATTGGAAGTATCAAGCAGCCGTATGTTCCTCCTGGTCCACAATGAGTTGTTGTGTGAAGGTGGACTTACTTGTTCCGCTACCAGACAACAAAGCCTGTACAAAGAGCATGGATGAGTGTCTTAAAGTATGTGTACTGACATGAAATCAGTCTTCCAGAATGTGTATGGATTTATTCAACGTGCCTCCCACGTTTCAGGAGGGACTGAAAGTGTGGACGTACCAGATTGAGAATGCAGTCTGTTTGATTGATGGTATCCAGCTGCCCGATGATGCAGAACTCACAGCAGGACAGGTTATGTAAACATGAACGGAAAGGGGGACTTTTTTCGCCCCGAGCGCAAGTTTAGCGCCAAGCACAGTGTAATTGTGCGCATGGGTGGAGTTTTCTTTCTTTTGGTATTTTGCAAGACTCTGCGCCAGTAGAATTGGGTGTAATGGGGCATTTGTGCCATCGTAGAAGTAGTAGAAATAATAAAATTGGTACCACATGAAATCCTCAACTGCATCAAAAAGCAATCAAAGTGAATCGTAACTCGAATCGAATCGTCCCTTGTAAAGTGAGTCAATTTTCAGAAATTTGAATCGATTCTCAGCCTTAGCAAGACACACGTACAAGGACAGGCCTGTTTTTAAAGCATGTATTCTAAAGTCTTACGTCTGATCAACATTTTGCAGAAGAGGAATGTGAGACAGGTGCTCACCGCTCAGCTGCTCGTCACACCGGTAAGATACAAACACGCTGTTTTCACACCAACGTATGCAATTACTATGGCAAGATTGAAAAGTTGTCCCCTTCTCCTGACATTGTCCCCTACTTGGTCTTGAAGAACATGTGACAGTTTGGCAGATGTCAAGGCATTTTCTTGATGCATGGCAGGCACAACAGGACACTTTAAGAGACGTGGTCCAGCGGTGTGGAGGCGCCTTGTCTGTCAGAGGAGCCATCCACAGTCGAGCTTACGTACACAACAACAAACCAAAGGCCAAACTGGCTGAGAAGGTAGACCTTTCTTTTCCAACTGCAAATTGTCTCCCTTTTGTCATGAAATATTCAATCTTTCTATAGATTCTGAAGAAAGATGTGGTCTCTACGATGGTCACGAGAGTTCAGATGCTGCTTGATGAGCTTTTGGCTCCAGAAGATGAGAGCAAGGGAGTCGGCACAGACAAACCGGGGACGGGTACTTCTCCGCACCTCTGGCCTCATTTACTTTGTTTAATCATCAATCCACTCCATCGCGTCCGCTCGCTTTCCTCTACCAAACATATGGTTTGGTCATGCGTTACATACTGACTTTTGAAAGAGGTATAAGTGCCCCCTTGATGAATTAAAAAAACAAAACAAAAAAACTGTCAGTTGCACTGATGAAAAATTGCCGCCCCCTCCAGCATCTTTTTCTGAGAAAAAAAAAAAAAAGATACAGCGGTTCATTCTGTCGGATTATAATATGTCATCCAACACAAGAAAACACGTCTAATCCTCAAGAGCAAAGTTCATCAGTTAATTGTAACACAGCAAGTCGATACAAATTAACTCAAGTAAGTGACTGATGTCTGTTCGCTAGGGTCGTTGTCTCATTACATTCTAACGTCTCATTATCATGAGGCCACTCCGGAATTCATAACGTGAGTACCCACACGTTTTGCCAACTGACATTTAGCTCATTGAGCGCTTGGGATCTAAAGGACATTATTTCCGAATGGTTGCTAAGCTGCTTTATACGCTGATATATTGTGCTTTTGAGCTGAGAGCTGTATTTGGTAAATTGTCGGTTATGTGTTGTTATTATACATCCTTTGTGATTTGAATTTCCTTTAAATATCGTACCGAGGACTCTGCAGGATTAGTACCATCAAGGACATGTTCTGTGCATTCAAAAAAAACAATACTGGCAGTCATATTGAATGGCATTTTGAAGTTCCACCTCAACTCTTTAACCCCTTGTTAGCAACATGAATGTGAAATGTAAATGATGTCCTTCCAAGACTGGGGCAGCTTGTTTCACGCAGAAAAATTCTCAAGAACCATTTCAGGCTTTCACGTACTAAAATCTATGATGATTGGTCGTGTCTTTCAGAGCAATTCTGCCTCCCCCATCGTGTCTTTTGTCCTGCAAAGGGGAATGGGAGTCTTTGTGTGTGTGACTACCGGTTCAACGACGAGGACCCATCTGAGGTGATTGACAGGTTGAAAGAAATGTTGGACGTCAACGCAGCTGATCAAAACTTGGATACCAAGCAAGAAATTGTTGCCGAAATCATCGAAAGTGGAGAATCAGAAGGTGAGGAACTGTTCCTTCTGTGCCATATCGGAATGGTGTCAGATGAGTGAAGAAGTCATTGTGGGCGTGAACACAGCCCTTGTAAGCACACACACTTATGCTAAGTGAAATCCAATCACTGAGTCGAGACAAACAAAATATCATGTGTTTGACCTCCAGGTTTTTCTGTTCCTTTAGAACGTTCAAATTCTGTATTGTATTTGAAAAATGGGTGTATTTCAAAGCAACATAGCACTTGCTTGTCTTTAAAGGGCACTTGTGATGATTGCGTTGTGTTTTTGTTGTGTTGTGTTGTGTTTCCAGATTCCACTGCAGAAATTGCTGACGTGCAAGAACCAAAAAGAAACAACAACTACATCGGTGAAACATAACGCTTTCTGGCCTCTCTTTGTTGTTAAAGGTTCTTCAGTATTACTAACTGACTACAAGCTGCTTACAAAAAAAACAACAGAATCAGCTAATGAACGCTCATTGTGCAACCTGTTCTGCTTTCTACTGCCACCTGTTGTGCATCACTATATCGTTACTGTAGTTAACGCATGCACTGTTCTGATTCTGCCCTTTTGTGTTTAGGTGTTGCCATGGCCACTGTTATCGCCCTTCTCGCCACTGCCGCTTCGATGCTCTACCTTCATGACATTTGACACAGGCACACCAAAATATTTGAACATCAAATCCAGATTAAATCATTCAATTGACTTCTGCACTGGACGTTTTTTGTAACGCTGTTTTTAGACACATGCACAAACAAACGGCCAAAATGAAGCTCCCGCACATTTTTTCTATTTAAAAAAAAAAAAAAAATTGTGTAAGCAGGCCCTAATTGACTGATGCTTGATATCATAGCTTTGTAAAGTTCCACTGTAGCACTTCATCTTCACGATGTTCCAAGTGAGTTGTACGGAATAGGAGTGTGTTATTATTTTGCACTCTTGCTTACATAATGTTAAAGTTTAGTTATATTGGACCATTTCCCTTCTCCGGACTCTCCACGCTGGAAGTTGCTGGAGGAGTCGACGAGGTCGTATGAGGGTTGTTTTGTGTGTTTGCGCATGTGCATGTGCATGTGCATGGGCGGTAAAGGCAAGTAGAGCAGTGTGTCCAAAAGAGATCATGTGTCGCCTCATCTTCTCATTTCCTGCACATTGGAGGCAAAATGAGAATTTGCTCTCATAAGCATTTAAGTCACAGATTGGAACAGTTAACATGACGGTGGGTTGTGCTCATAACGTCAGCACACAAAAATGTTTTGTCAGTGTTGATTATCGAATTAATACGTCTATTGTGTGTTATTTTAACATGATGTCTTTATAATTGTCCGTTTTTTTTATTTAATACTTGTAACAACAATTAGCAGACAGATTTAAGTACATTGGATTTTAAAAAATCTATACTCCCCTTCTCAAATGCCCCCCCCAAAAAAAAACAAATTTTTGAAAAAGGAAAAAAAACTGAAATGTTATTCAGACACGTTAAGTCTGCCTCTTGTGATAGGGGTGTGGCTGTTCAAAATTAACAAACTCATTTTAAACCTCTGTAAATGTTTTTTCCCCCCATATTTTCCTCCACCTTGAGGCCCCAGGTCCAGTTGAAGAAAAAGAGCCCCCAAGCATGACGCTGCCACCAGCGTACCTCGCTGTATAGCCCCCCCCCCCAAAAAAGAAATAAATAATTGGAAAATAAATAAGACAATGATCTCAGAAGAGGTGGAGTTTGGAACCGACACTTTGCAATGGTTATTGTTTAATCTATCCGGAGCTTGGGCGCAATGCACATTTGAATCTGAGCACCTGACGGCACTGCTAAACTTTGAGCCCTGAAGATTCCAATAAGCTCCACCCGGTATTCCAAATTGCCAGGTTCAGCGGGGAAAAGGCATCTATCTCCTGACTGTTGTATAACAAGACGGTGATAAGGTTTAGGGAGCTCTCCAATTTCCAGAATCTTCGGGAACTCTTTGGTGCTGCTGACAAGGAGAAAGGAGCCGTCATGCTAAGTAAAGATCTTCCAGACATCGAGGTAACTTTGTTGTGTTTTCTGTCTGTTCTGTGGACTTGGACAAAACAAGCATCCACCGCCTCGTAGAAGCGACAACACAACTAGGCACGAGAATGGAGCAAAATGTGTGTCGAAACCATGAAAACAGCACTGCGCTCTGCCTACTGTAACGTGTAGATACATTCATACTTCTCAATCAAACAATTTGTGTCATTTCCTAATTTTACACGCATGTGGGTAAAATAATTCCCCTCATTACGGAGTCTCTCAATATTTTTTCATGGTAAAATCATTAAAATGTCGTTTGTTCATAGTCATATACTGTTTACACTGAAAATTTTGTTTGTTGAATTTACACAATTTCGTTTCGTCAGGTTGTCGCGGGCAATTGAATCATACGGATAGAGATACGTTTTAAGCAGATGTTGAGTCTCCTTTAAAAACTTGAATGCAGATGATTTTAACGCGTGCAACCACCTGACAAAATAAAGTGGAGTACTGTAAATTCAAAACACCGTTTTTTGTAGAGGAACAATGTGGTGGAAAAAAAAGCTTCTAGACCTGCGTGGGTAACGTGTAGATACATTCATACTTCTCAATCAAACAATTTGTGTCATTTCCTAATTTTACACGCATGTGGGTAAAATAATTCCCCTCATTACGGAGTCTCTCAATATTTTTTCATGGTAAAATCATTAAAATGTCGTTTGTTCATAGTCATATACTGTTTACACTGAAAATTTTGTTTGTTGAATTTACACAATTTCGTTTCGTCAGGTTGTCGCGGGCAATTGAATCATACGGATAGAGATAAATAAGCAGATGTTGAGTCTCCTTTAAAAACTTGAATGCAGATGATTTTAACGCGTGCAACCACCTGACAAAATAAAGTGGAGTACTGTAAATTCAAAACACCGTTTTTTGTAGAGGAACAATGTTGTGGAAAAAACTTCTAGACCTGCGTGGTCTTTTTTGGCGCACTTCAAGTTGCACTAATACTTAAAGTGAGCAAATATTTTTAAGATGAGCGATGTGTTGTGCTACGATTGTCACCTCAGCTACGGTAGTGTGAAAGTAGTGTTGAGGAATGCGCTGGCCGTTGTAGATTGTGGAGATGTGCTTTGATAAACAACCTCATCTGACCCTGAACATGTCATTGCCCCAAGGCTAGTTCTTGAAATTGCTGCGGTACGTAAACAAATGTACAAATACTCAGCAATTATTCAAGACACTGATGTAAAACCTACATTAGAACCTCGCCTTTCCAGAAGCCTCGTTCTAATTTTCGAGTATTTATTAAAATAACAGAACCCCCCAACCCCCAAAAAATAGAAAATGATAATTGTCTCTCTTCTCAATTCAACTCAGCTTTATTTATATAGCACAGCTGCACCTGCTACAAAGCACGCTACAGAACGCAGGACATAAAACATTAACCATAACACAATCATAAACAAAATATTTTTTTATCCATTCCTATTCCATTTCCCCCCCTTTGTTTGAGGCAGTTATCTATGAAAGAGCAGTGATTCCAAGTCTCTTTTCACCGTCTAACTTAAGTTGTGGCCATGCTACAGATTGGCCATGTTCCCCCCTTTGTTTGAGGCTGTTATCTATGAAAGAGCAGTGATTCCAAGTCTCTTCACCGTCAAACTTAAGTTGTGGCCATGCTACAGATTGGCCATGTGCGAAAACCACCGAATAACAAATTGCACAATAATTTGCAGGTGCAGGAACTCTGAACCGCAATTGATTAGAACCCCAATTTATGTGCTTCTAAATGATTGCACTTTTTACCATGTCAGAATGTCTCTTTTCCTAGCAGATGTCATTGTGGTATAAAATTCGAGACTTTTTTTTCTTTTGTTTTGTGCATACCCTCAACCGGGCACAAAACCTCCGTGCAATGACCTGAAAGCGCTTCAATATCTTATCTACTCGACCCCAAACAGTCAAACAAACAAACTTCTCAGAATGTTCCTTGCCATAAAGGCAGATAACAGGTATGTTACTAAGCTATACAATGCAGCAATAAAATGTTACGTTTGAAAGACACCGGATAAATGGTGGTCGCGTCACTATGAGCTGAGATGTTTGATTGTTTCCTTGTACTTTTTAGAGCATCTTGGCTCTGAACCCAAGGGTCAAGACTCACGCTCAGATCATGTCCACGGCGAGCAAAAAGAAAGAAAAGAAACACTGGAAGCGCAATCCTGACAGGGGCTGTGATGTAAGTCTTTCTCTGCTTGACGTTTACGACAAGTTGATTCACCAATGAGTCGAAATTTGTACACCAGCACTCAAAATGGCTTGCTTATGTGACAGGTGACATCAATTTCTCTCTTGAGTAATTTTATCTGTCCCCTAGTCCTGTGTTAAGTTAGAGAACAACTTTGATGATATAAAACACACAACCCTGAGTGAGCGGGGAGCTCTTCGAGAAGCTCTGAGGTGAGAATCAAATAAGTCCGTCCTGTCATCCTCTTCGTATTCCAAATGACGTGAATGAATGTGACATTGAACGGTAGCGCCTATGTTTTCGTCCGAGTGATGTCGAAAGAGCTTTGACGAACGCCGCAATTGACTAGGCCAGATGAACGCCGACACCTGACTACGCTTTCAACTATGTCAATTCTGTGATTAGGTGTCTCAAATGTGCGGATGCTCCCTGTCAGAAGAGCTGCCCCACTAACTTGGACATCAAGTCATTCATTACAAGCATCTCGAATAAGGTACTGCACACACTCGGGCCTCGATATAAAGTGCTTTTGAAAGCGGGCAAACTTAGAAAGTCTCCCCCACCGTATACAAGTCTCAGATATTTGTGAAGGAAGTGTTTCTATGTGCGCATTTGCTGTATGTCTTTCGACATGTCAGAACTACTATGGAGCAGCGCGGGCCATCCTGTCTGACAACCCTCTTGGTCTGACCTGTGGAATGGTCTGTCCCACATCGGAGCTGTGCGTTGGGGGCTGCAATCTGTACGCCTCTGAGGAAGGTCCCATTAACATTGGAGGGTTGCAGCAGTTTGCTACTGAGGTACAACCAACACTAAATGTATTGTATTTGATTAATTTTCCCAAGAGTCTGAGAAATGTTGTTGACTGGCCATCCAGATTTAGACTTCTGACACACAACTGTTGTTGTCTTTTTAAATCCACATTAGTTTGGCGTCTCGTTAAAAGTAAACATTTTCTCCCGTGACTCAAAATATCTTCCCCCAGGTGGCCTTTGTTTGCCATTGCGCATTGAGGATTTCGCTGGTGAACGGATGAATGGATTTGGAGGCAATCTTGAAACGTGATGTGCGTGCATCTTCGCAGGTCTTCAGTAAGATGGGCATCCCTCAGATCCGAAATCCCGAGCTCCCGCCGCCTGATGAGATGCCGGAGTCTTACCACTCGCCCATTGCTCTTATTGGCTGTGGCCCGGCTTCTATTAGCTGCGCGTCTTTTCTTGGCCGCCTCGGATATAATAACATCACCATATTTGAGAAACAAAAATACACCGGAGGGCTAAGGTACGGTCATTTATCAAATATTCCTACCCCTGTTGAACAATGCAGTTTGTTGAGAGTCGTGTTGCTCTCAGAATATTTATTGAGGCAGCATATCATCGTGTGGTACGCAGAGTTACAAACAAACCACACATCTGAAGTACTGGATGAACCTGGTGTCTCAATCAAAAACAAATTCACCCATGAAGGTTTACATTTTCCATCCAGGCTGGTTTTCAGACTTGCACACGTGTGAAGCGGGTTTGCCAAAACAAAGGAAATCATTCCTTATCTTATATGTTTGCTCACTCAGATGACAGGGTAATTTATCAACAACGTAGCGTAAAAGAATTCCTTTTGTGCTTTCATGCAGCACAGCAGAAATCCCCCAGTTCCGTCTTCCATATGAGGTGGTCCAGTTTGAAATAGACTTGATGAAGGACCTGGGAGTCAAGGTATGAGCTCCATTTTCTATTTTGTCGAATACAATAATGTGTCAAATGTTGCCCGCTGGGCATCCGTTGCAGCCTGGTCATCCTGGAAGGGGGCTTCCCCCACCTGAGCCGTCCACGATTGGTCGTTACCGGAGCCCTCAGGCACTGTGATGTCATTTTCATGGTTGCTTTGTGATCCATACCAGGTCGTGTGCGAGAAGGGTCTCGGTATGAACGGAATGACTCTGACTTCTCTGAAAGAAGACGGATTCAAGGCAATCTTCGTTGGAATCGGTGAGTGCTCTTCCACTGAAACAAGCCAGGAAAAAAAAAATCCAGATGTTCTGGCGACTTGAACATGAGCGTATTTTTCAAGTTGTGTTGCTTGGAGTCAGACTTTTTAAAGGCAATTTGATCACTTGAACTTGAAACAAACGGAAAAATAATGAAAAGGTTATCATTAAGTTGAATGAAAGAAAACTTATATGTCATTTTAGGGCTCCCTCAAGCCAACAGAGCCAAAATCTTCCAGGGTTTATCCACGGATCAAGGCTTCTTCACATCCAAAGATTTTCTGCCCATGGTGGCCACGGCAAGCAAGAGAGGTTTTGCACTCGGCTCACACGTCGACACACTCACCGTTCCCACGAGTGTCCCATCGCGCCGTCGCTCTCCCTCCAGGGATGTGCCAGTGTCGCTCCTCCCTTCCTGAGTTACGAGGAGCGGTGATTGTCCTGGGTGCCGGCGACACCGCCTTCGACTGCGCCACCTCTGCCCTCCGCTGCGGGGCCAGGAAAGTGTTTGTCTGCTTCAGGAAGGGATTCACCAACATCCGGGCTGTTCCTGAGGAGGTAGGGATGTCCGTGGAGTAATGGATGTGGATAAGCAGGGAGAAAGAGAGAGAAACGAATGCCCGTCTTTGATCAGATGGAGCTGGCGAAGGAGGAGCAGTGCGAGTTCCTCCCCTTCCTCTCTCCACGAGAGGTCATCATGAAGAACGGGCGCGTCGCCGGACTGCAGTTTTGTCGCACTGAGCAGGCCGAGGACGGAAATTGGATGGAGGATGAAGACCAAGTTGTGCGCTTGAAGGCGGACTACATCATCAGCGCCTTTGGTTCCATGCTCAGCGAGCCGGCAGGTAATCGGACTGGAAGGCAAGGCGATGGAGGGGCCATCATTCGTTCACATCCGCCTACCCGTGACCCTCGCGAGGAGAAGCCGATTGGAAAATGGATGGCTGGACGCGAAAGGCCGTCCTAATAGATTTTAATACTCACGTACACAACAGCCGACCGCCAGTTAAGCCACCGCATGCGTGTGTCACAGTATGAAGCGTTTTGGGAGGGCACAAATTTTAGAACCGCTCATGCACTTCAAACTCTTTTGCCGTTTGTGTACTTTGGAGCTCTGCATTGCAGTGGCTACTAACTGGTACTGAACTTACCGACTCTGCTTCCCAGGCATCATTTTGACCCACCCTTCCTCTTCTTTGGTGGTTCTCTAGCGTTCATAAGTGGGATCTTCCATCGAGTCGTAAACACTGTTGGTGCAACTCAAAACTGCCGTGCTCCGAGAAACATTTTCATTTTGAAAAATGAGTCGAGCGCCACTTTGAGTGTCCGTCCTTACGCGATATTGATCCACTCAGCTGTTCCCACATAATTCACACGTTCTTCTTTTTCAAGGAGACTGTTTTTTGTACGTTTATTCCGTGTGCAGTGAGCGAGGCCCTGTCTCCGGTCAAGCTGAGCCGTTGGGGTACTCCTGAGGTCAACACAGAAACCATGCAAACCAGCGAGCCCGGGGTGTTTGCAGGAGGTGACGTCGCCGGACTGGCAAATACCACGGTGGAGTCCGTGAATGATGGCAAACAGGCCTCCTGGCATATTCATCGATACATACAGGTCGTGCGCATCGGAAACTTCTCTCGTTCTGTCCTCACATTTGAGAAGTCAATGAATGAATACCGACGAGAGGAAAAAGTATCTCTTCATTTTGAGATCACCAAACAGACACAATTTTCATTGGATAATCAGGAACCACCAAGAATCGCATATTTGGGCCAGTTCAACTGTTCCGGGCCATGTCCATTACTTTTTGGGCCAATTCAGCTGTTCCGGGCCATGTCCATGACTTTTTAAAAATTATTTTTACGTGCTATTTCTTGAAATGGCATCATTCCGTGTGATCTACTATAACGATGAGCACCTATCTTGACAACATATGCCCCTCCTTTAAAACCACAGCTTTGAGTGTGTCATTGTCAAAAGGTTTCATTCGGTTTATTGAATGGCAGCTCACATTTTACAGCGCAATTGTGCTTTTTTTTTTTTTTTTTAATCGCTAGAAGCGCAGGATTCAAGACTAAAATAAGGATACAAATGATAACTTTAAAGTGCACGCTTGCCACTTGAGAGGAAGGCAAGAGACAACACTCAGCATCTGTGATCAGTGAAAGAACAGATTCCAGTTTTCATCACACTTCCTGTCATCTTTTCACATACATTTTTTTTACTCCCTTTGTCATATGTATTTTGTCTTTTTACTATGGTTGGAAGTCATATCCCTCCTTAAATTGCAACCATCAGAGCGGGAAAAAAAAATACAAATTCATTGAAGCAAAGAGCATGTGCAAAATGCACGGGCTAATGTAACAAGATATTTATACTTTTTGTTGTTGTTGTTAAAGATCCCATCTGTTTTCATTCTGCAGTCCCTCTATGGCCAGACAGTGGATACGGTTCCAAAGATGCCGCTATTCTACAGCGCTATCGATCAGGTGGACATCAGCGTGGAGGTTTGCGGAATAAAGTTTCCCAACCCATTCGGCTTGGCCTCTGCCCCTCCCACCACCAGCGCCGCCATGATCCGAAGAGCTTTCGAACAAGGATGGGGTTTTGCCTTGACCAAGACGTTCGGATTAGATAAAGTAAAGGCCCACTTGTCTCGCAATGCTGACGTTGCCATGCGTTGATGATATACCGAATGGCCCGATTGCGTTCCTCTGTCTCTGCAGGACCTGGTTACTAATGTTTCTCCTCGTATCGTACGCGGTACCACTTCCGGTCACGTCTTTGGACCGGGTCAGGGATCGTTCCTCAACATTGAGCTGATCAGTGAAAAGACGGCAGCCTATTGGTGCCAGTCAGTGGCTGAGCTTAAGAAAGACTTTCCCAAAAATGCAAGTTGTTATTCTTGCTCATTACATGACTTTTCTGTTGCGATAGATTTGGGAAAAAAACATACTTTTTTTTGTCTGTCAACCAGATTGTGATCTCCAGCATCATGTGTGGTTACAACCAGGAAGACTGGACAGAACTAGCTCAGATGGCTGTGGTAAGAGTTGACTCAAGTGTTCTTCGCATGTTACAGTAAGCGTTGTTTTAGCCGTAAAATTGATTTGGATGCTTCATTAGAAATCGGGTGCTGATGCTTTGGAGTTGAACCTGTCCTGTCCTCATGGGATGGGAGAGAGAGGCATGGGGCTGGCCTGTGGGCAGGTACACTACCGCTCTCTCTCTGCTCTCTTCCCCCACACACATAGCAATCCACACGCATAACTTAAGTGTCCCTCTTTGGAAAGGTTGTTTATTTACAGTGTATATAACACATTAGGACCCTGTGCTGGTGCGTAACATTTGTCGCTGGGTGCAAGCTGCTTCTTCCATCCCATTCTTTGCCAAACTGACCCCAAACGTTACCAACATCGTCGATATTGCCAAGGCCGCCTATGAAGGTACACGCATGTTTTCATATTCCACTGCACCCCTTGTTTGACTTTTGTGCGGAATACTGCGCATGGGTGCATCGGAACTCAAATACTAATCGATTACAAATGCTTGGATGCAACCAATGTGTAAATCAGGTGGAGCAGATGGAGTTACAGCCACAAACACGGTTTCAGGCATGATGGGACTGAAGGCAGATGGCTCACCCTGGCCGGGTGTTGGAGCTGGCAAACGCACCACATACGGAGGGGTGTCGGGTAAAGACACATACGCGTCACATGTTTCAGTTTGCACTTACTCTTGAAAGCACCTTGCGTATTTTTCACAATGCATTTCCTAAAACCCACCCTGAATTCATGAGCCAAGCCAAAGTGGGAGAAAAGAGCGAGAATTCATTTGGGAATTCAAATGCAATCGGTTACAATATTGGTTACAGTTTTGCAGATCAATTTCCGTGTTAAAGCATCATTCATCATCGGGCCATCGTAAAGTTAAACGCTACCGTTTGAGACTTTTTGAAACTTTTGGAGTGACCGATGGATAAGCATAAATAGACCTTATCGAATCACTGGCACATGGGTTGCTATTATCATTGGTGCAGGTAACGCCATCAGACCAATTGCTCTCCGAGCCGTATCAGCCATCGCCAGGGCACTTCCCGGCTTTCCAGTTTTGGCCACCGGGGGAATTGACTCAGCAGAAACCGGTTTACAGTTTCTTCATGCTGGTGCCTCCGTGCTACAGGTGACAAGATCACTGGGACAGTCTTTGCGCCCATTTGCTTTTCTTTCATGCGGTTGAATTTGATATCGTTACGCCTTCATTTCCTGGTTGGCTAGCATAGGTCATGTGATTTTACGACCTGACAGTAAGGCACATGAAAACCATTTCAATTGAGCGGCATCCATTTTCTATGGTTTGGGTGACCAAAACAAAGTGTATACACAGGTATGCAGTGCTGTTCAGAACCAAGACTTCACTTTGATCGAGGACTACTGTGTGGGTATGTTGCACCCCCTTCATACATTTAGTGTGGTTTGTGAATACGTCGTGGTGAGAGTTCTGTGGATGCATAGGTTTAAAGACCTTGCTGTACTTGAAGAGCCTTGACATGAGCGCCTGGGATGGGCAGTCTCCTCCAACAGAGAGACACCAGAAGGGAAAACCCATTCCGAGACTGGAAGATCTGGTTGGACAGGTACAGTGTATAAAATGTAGTAATAGCATTCGTCCATTTATTTACAGCAACCAAAATAAATAAGGTTCATTAATGAAATATGTGACAAACAATATGCCATGCCGAGGTGCAGGGTTCAATTCCGGCTGCGGCCTTCCTGTGTGGAGTTTGCATGTTCTCCCCAGGGCAGTATGGCTTTCCTCAAGGTTCTCCGGTTTCCTCCCACATTCCACAAGCATGCACGGCAGGTTAACGGAAGCCTCTAAAATTGTCCCGAGGTGTGAATGCGAGCGCGAATGGTAGTTTGTCTATGTGTGCCCCGCGATGGGCCGGCAATCGGTTCAGGGTGTCCGCCGCCTTCTGTCCTAAGACGGCTGGGGTAGGCTCCGGCAAATAGACATCTGCATGGCATCGCAGCTGTGCCACAAGTGCAAATATAAACATACATACTGTTTAATGTACCAGTATTTTTGAAGTGCTTCATTTATTCTTATCAGAATAGAAATGCACTATTACGTAATGTAATATTAGAGCATTACTAGCTCGTGGTTTGGATGTCTTACTTGTTTCATGTTGTACGAGTATTTGATCAATTTCTGAGCTCGCCCAGTGAGCCGAAAAGCTGGATATAAAAAGGTGTATTCGGTTTGTCGTTTCTCATTCCTGTTCTAAATTTGTATATGTTGAGATTGAGAGAAAGAATTTGCAGATATTGTGTGTGCTTGCCTGTGTGCGTACGCACGTGTGTAGAGTCTTCCAAGTTTTGGACCATACCTTCAGAAGAAGACAGAGGCCATTGCACAGTACAAGAAACAGCTCAAAGAAGCCGGTGGTGCAGATGTGATGGAAGCCACCGTCGCCAAAATGAATGCACCTAAAAAAACAGTTCCAGCTGTCAAGGTGTGGGGCGCGCACTCACACATACCATCTACAATCTATTGTGTGATTTGTTCTGTTCAAATGCAAAAATCAAAAACAAAGCTTTATCAACGCGTATTATTAAATGCGTGTTTTTGTGTGCTTATTTGCAGGATGTGATAGCAAGAGCGTTGCGCCACATCGGGGCCTATCAAGAGCTTAACAACATGGAACAGGTAATAATTGATGTATCACTAACTTGTGCCAAGTTGGGATAAAAGCTTTTCGCGGTGGTGCCCAAACTATGGCCCGGGGGCCATTTGCGATCCGCCATCCATTTTTCAGCGCCCTGTGACATGTCAAAAAAAAAAAAAATTCTATATTAAAAATGATGACTTGGGCCGCAAGGTTAGTTCAGAAAGGTGAAGGTGGGCAGAGTGAGAAGAAAGGGTGCCCGAAAAATAACTGCCATGACGACTAATACATTTGTTTATATACTGTAGAACTTTTCTCTATATTCAAAGATGCAATGATTAAGTTATGATTAAAAGAATAACAATTTATCTTGTCTAATTGTGATATTTCATTTGTCCTACGTATCAGGTTCAGGCTCTGATAGATGAGGAGATGTGTATCAACTGTGGGAAATGTTACATGACCTGCAACGACTCTGGCTATCAGGTAGTTCTGTGTGCCGAAAAGGAACATGCCGTACGAGTACGATGCTTGTGTTTGTCATTCAAAGTCAGGCATATATTTTCAGACCTTGTTGAGATCCCGGTTTATCTGGCTCCTGCTTTGGGATCGGCAGCATCGTGGACGAGTGGTTCGTAAGTCGGTCCCACAGCTCCCTGTGGGTCCGACTTACTAACACCAGCTCACCTTTAACACTGAATAGAGTAGACAGCCGGAAATGGCTTGATGTAGCTCATGTTGGCTTTGCCGATTTTAATGAAAAAAAAAAAATCGATCTTTTACACGCTCCCTGACGCTTACATCGAGACTGTCGAACTATCCTTTTACCACGCATATTTTCACAAATCTCATTTAGCATTCGCTCTGTGCCTGAGTGACATTTTGCTTCGTGCCTCTCTCCAGGCTATCACGTTCGACCCTGAGACCCATCTTCCATTTGTAACTGACAGCTGTACAGGATGCACTCTCTGCCTGAGTGTCTGTCCAATCATAGACTGCATCAAGATGATGGACAGGACAACACCATATCAACCCAAGAGGGGTGTCCCGATTAATCCAGTGTGCTAAAGCACACTTTCCCTTCTTTGGCCTGTAACAAATGGCTGAAATCTGTCACAACACCGATAGATGCTTGTTTTTGATGAACAGAGTGCGATTCTTCATGAAATTCTGTTACCTTTTGATCAGCAGGCACTTCTTTTGTGGCTTGTGTGTTCTGAAGATGTTTTTGTTTTTTCTTTTATTCCAAGGAGCATCCTGAAATATACTTTTACTGTCAGGTCTCTATAAAGCTATTACCTATGGAAATCACGGGATTGTTACATATTCATACGGTAATGTCGTTTGGATTTGTCGACCTGCAGTTTGAACTGAACAAAATCATACATACATTTTAACATTTTGACATGCATTAACTGTTGTGATCAGCAATTTGTGACCCAAATTAGCATTTTTATAACTATCAGCATTTGTGGTGATTGGGGTTTCAAAATTAACAATCTGTCTAGGAAAACTGTTGATTAAAAAAAATTGGTATTTTATTTTGAAATGAGAATGTATAATTACTGTATATTCCTTTAATTCAAGAATACACATGTGCCAGGATTCCCTTCAGGATCAATAAAATACCTACTTCGAGCGGTTGAATGGGTTATTCCACTAAACACATTTTCTTGAAACATCCTACATTAGATATACTTTTTTTTTTTTTACAAAAAAATAAACGGAGTTTGGTTTCTTACACATAAACTTAGATCAATGACGAGGCTGTAGAATTTTGAGAAACATCAAATGTTGCTACTGTACCGTCAAGGCTAAATGTAAATGACGTTGATGCCACCCTCCAAAGCAGAAGGTGGCGGTATGGAGCCCTCTTTCTTGTTGATGAGAAGGCGCCCATTTTGCTTCCACTTGGTCGACGTCGGTGTAGGTTTCACAGAAGCGGACAAAGAGCTGCAATGGACGGGTAAAATGTCCTCGATTGTGGACGCGTCTTCGTAACGCATGAGACATCTGAAGGGACGCTGCGTTGCGTTCTCGGTTTCAGATAGGCTAGCCGTTAGCAGAGCTGCAAACCTTGATATTGCATTGTTACAGGACCTGGTGACAGCTAGCTAAACATAAAGTCCACCCATGAACCGGGCTAGTATCATGAGGTAATGTCATTTATATTTGTAATGTAGGTATTCCTAATTTGATATCCAGAGCGATGTTAACCGGGAAATATGGTTGATTTAACTTTAATTCTTTGCTGGCGTTTTATTAGAAGGTCGCAATTGATTTCACTTTTAGCCGCATTAGTCACACGCTCACGGTAGAAGGTGTAACAGAGTGCGTAACTTTAGGAAATAGCTTTATTCAGTCGAAATTAGGTGCTTACAAACTGACCAATAAAAGCGTGTTGCTAGCCTGAAATTAAAAAATAAAGTTATATGATGTAAAACGTGAAAAATGACAGGTAAAATTCAAGAAATATGTATTACACACGCACTTGTCGATAGATGTATGTTCTATTTTTCATGCACATGTACGTGTTGGGACTCGCTTTTCCTTATCAATGCATTCTTCGCTTTTGCAGTGATGTTGGGGTTGGTGTGAAGGCAAGCATCCTTATTTACTCTCTGAGCCTGTTGACTGAACAATAATACTGAACAATAATGATGTGCCTGAGCGATTTGGTTACTGCTCTTCAGACACAAAAATTGATCATCACTTACGTTGATGAAAGCCTTGCAGGTAGCTTCATTTTTTTTCTGTTCTTTTTCACGCCAGAGAGGCTCGGATGAGCTCAATATGTACAGTAGCAGCCCTAACACGATGACGGGTAAGAAAACCTTTTTGTTTCGTTCTTAAATTTAAAGCTGACATATTCCCTGCTTCAGTGTTCAATGTTACCTCATGTAGCACTTTAATAAGAGCTGTTTCTGTGCTGTGATGAGGTCTGTATCCCGATTGGAATTTCTAGTAGGCTTGTTGAAAGTGAAATGAAACTGCTCTAGTTTATTTCAATGCACTGTTCGGTACGGCGACCTTTGGTTCACGTGCTTGAATAATTAATTATGTGCGTGTTCAGCAAACGGCAGCGACACTAAGAAACAGCGTCTGGATGAGTCCCCTCCATCCAGAGTGCTTCACATCAGAAAACTTCCCAATGAAGTATCAGAGACAGAAGTCATTGCACTGGGACTTCCCTTTGGGAAAGTGACCAATATATTAATGCTGAAGGGGAAAAACCAGGTATACCTTACAACATGGTTTCATGCGGTTACTGTGAAGCGAAATGTTTGGCTGACAACAAAATTTTTCCTCCAAGGCATTTCTGGAGCTCAGCACAACAGAAGCTGCCATTACCATGGTGAACTACTACTCGGCTGTGACGCCGCAGGTCTGAAATCCGTTCATGTGATTTGCTCCTACACTTGATGGCGGAATGAATAGATGCGGTTTCTGTGGATTCTTTCCTGTAGGTCAGAAATAGTCCCGTCTTTATCCAGTACTCTAACCATAAGGAACTGAAAACAGACTCTGCGCTCAACCAGGTATTCGGATTGTTGAGAAAAATCCCAGCTCGAGGAAACAAGAAAGGCTTTTGGCCTGATGTCGGATTTTCTTCTGTTCTCCCAGAGAGCCCAGGCAGTGCTCCAGGCGGTCTCGGCGGTTCAAGATGGCAGTTCTCCATCCTCAGACCACGGGGTTCTGGACCTTGCTCCGCCTCCCAGTCCTGTCCTGCGTATTATTATCGACAACATGTTTTATCCCGTGACTCTTGATGTTCTGCAACAGGTATTATGTTTTGAACCATCTCAAGCACAAATATTCAGGGAAAAATTGAGGAAGGAAAAAAAATCTGCCAATATGCTCATCTGTAGGTGGGGAACCGTGACTATGCGGGGTTGGAAGGGGTCCATTCTACAATCAGAAACTGTAGAAAACTACAGTCAAAAACTGAGATGCAGCCAATTAGTACATTCCTTAACCTCTTAATCATAAAACTTAAAAGCAAAGTAAAAGTTTTAACTCGGTTTGTGATAAATGGCTTACATACTGTTATGCATCCCTTTTTTCAATCTCACACAAGTTGTTCATAGCAAAAATATGATTTCCTCATGCATTTGCTTGTCTGATCTCAATTCACCTTTTGATGTTCAATTGTTGTTCTTTTGGTGAGCATTTGTTGTTCGATGTTTGTCCTCATAGATTTCAACGACACTGTTCGAAAAGACTAAATTGCTTATGTTGTTTTCCAAATCTTTTTTCAGATATTCAGCAAGTTTGGGACGGTCATGAAGATCATTACCTTCACCAAGAACAACCAATTTCAAGCACTTCTGCAGTTCAGTGATCCTGTCAACGCCCAGCAGGCTAAACTGGTTGGTCTGCGAGATTCTAAAACTCCTAACCGGTAGCATAGCATCGTGGTCATTTGTGTGCACTTGTCTAGTTTGCATATCATTCACACATATGGACGTTTGGCTCCCTTGGTCCTTGGCCAAAACAGAGCATAGTTTCTAAATAGAGAGTTATTAATTGTAGTGCCATCCCTCCCTCTCTCTACAGTACGTTACCTGGTTATTTGCATCTGAGTTAACCCACAGTTCTGTTGTTCGAGGCTTGTCGTGGGAGGAAACACCAAGCTCATCAGACACGGCTTTCTGTTAACTTAGATACCTCAGGCCACCTTGACACAATATCATCTTTCCCCACCCCCCAAAAAAGTTCTTCATTCCTTCAAACGTTCGCAGGGGGCAATCCAAATCTGTTTCAGCTTTTCGTCCTGTTTTTTTTGCAAGGACCGTTCACCTGCACACTAACACCGTCTTGTCTTTTGTCTCCTCCTCGGACAGTCTCTTGATGGACAGAACATCTATAATTCTTGCTGTACTTTGAGGATCGATTTCAGTAAACTGGTCAATCTCAACGTCAAATACAACAACGACAAGAGTCGAGATTACACGCGACCAGACCTACCGACTGGAGATGGAGAGTCAAGCAAGGATCATTCTTTATTGGGTAATTTCAACAATGTTGTCATGTTGCGTCTGCTCTAGCCCACGTCCGATTACGTTTATAGGCCAAGTCAAGGCTTAGACACCATGCAAATCAACACGGCAGGTTCGTGTGTGTGTGTGTGTTTATAATACATATATTATTTTTCAAACTCGTTCAGCCCGATTTCTAGTGTACATAGTCGTTGAGTTTCCCCCCAAAGCAATGCATGCATGCCCATATTTTCTTGAAGCAGGACCTCAACCCATAAGTAAATTTTTGTTACATTAGTGACCGTTGTGTCAAAACCGGAGTGGCGCCTGCTCAGCCTCGTGTTTCCTTTTATCGACTGCCGACTGTGCTCGGTTCTATCACCGTTTGTGGACCGATTCGGCACGTGTGCTTTCTTGAAGGCACCCCGTCTGGAGCGCTGGCGTCGTACTCAAGTGGGGCAGGTTACTCATCCTCTCTCTCCCTCTCGCAGGGTGCAGGTACCTCCAATGTCTACTTTGCTGTCGATACACTTTTGGGATGAGAACGTTTTTAGATCTTTCTTCGATCTGAGCCCGTTCAACTCTACGCTATTCCCGCTGTCTGCATGTATGCTGCTTCTGTATGATATCGTTGTTGCTGAATGTCCTGTATGAATCCTGTTTTGTGGTGTTCCCCCCCTCCCCTCCACCACGCTTTAAAACATCTGAATGACGTGTTGGATGACGTGTTCGAGAAGATGTTTCTGCATTCTGCTTGCTCACAGGAGCCATTAGCCCTCTGAGCGCCGCAGCCGCCGCGGCAGCCGCCGCAGGACGTGTCGCTCTGTCAGGGTCCGGAGTTTCGGGAGTGCTGCTGGCGTCGAACCTGAACGAAGAGGTACATGAAGCGTACACATTCTCCCGAGAGCTAATTCGACTTGCCGTGTCTTTGTTAGTGTTGGGAAGCAACCGGATGTGGTTAAGTATGTCTTTAATTTTGTCTTCTCAAATGTTTGTATATTTGGATGAATGTAAACCTAACAAATTAACATCATATACAAGACAAATGAATATTAGACGATTATCTGGACACTAGCATGCTTGTACTTTGGAACTAGTTTTCTGTTAAGTGTCAATTCTCCATCAGCACACACACACACAAAATTGTTATATCTATATCAAAAATCTCTTCTTTGAATTACCTTTCTGTCAGAGACTATTTCTTTCTACTATTTCAGTCCGTCTTTGTTTATTTCCCTTTTGAGAGCGCCTTAACATCGGAGTGGTGGTTTTCACATGTCTGTCCCCATTTGTCACCGTCTTTGTGCAACCGCAGCGTTCATTGCCGCCTCGTTGTTTGAATAGTGGAACCTCTAAAATTGAACGCAGTCTGCTTAAACCGCGGTCATTATCAAAAAATTGTCGAAAGTTACAATTTAACGTGAGCATTTGGCATAAAAGTGAACGGTTATTTAACCGTCAACGATAAAATGTCCGAACTCGCAAAACTGTAAGAGGAAGTGACTCTTTGGGCAGACACACGGAATGAGTCGGACTTTTCCTCCTACTCCGGCCCCATACTGAGGCTGACGGGACTTTCTTTGGATGACCAAAAGTACAACGGTACGGGCCTTTGATTTTAGAGGTTCTGCTGTCCTTGAAATCCCTGGAAGTGCTCAG